TGCCCAGGACAGGGGCTTCTCACCCTGGGTTTTGAATCTTGAGAGGTGTCTCATGTGGATGAAAAGTGACTGGAGTCCATTCTCGCCACTGGGCAGCCAGGAGGGACTCACTCTCCTCTCATTATTGCTTCTTGAATCTGTAGAGTTGATTTGTTTCTGTCCCTCTTGAGCTCTGGTTTTTTGTTTTTTGGTTTTTTTTGTCTTTAAATTATGAGAGCTACCCATGTCCTTTAAATAAATTTATCTGTGCTTAAAAATATGATGCTTAAAACAAAGAGTGAGCCCCAGTGGATGCAGATGAATTGTTTAAACTTCCCTGGGCTGTGTGCTCATCTATAAAGGAATTGGATGCACCCACCCCCAGGTCCCTCTTAGCTCTGTGATTTTTAGCTAGAATTGGATTCTAGTGACTTTCTCATGACATGTTTCAGGAGGGACTGGCTGGTCCTGTGTTGGGGAAGCAGGAGAAGTTTTGTTAACTGGGTTAATATGGCCTTAAGTTTATGTTGTATGTTTTCTGTACTCCTTGCGTGACTGTGACTCTACTGTTGGTGAATTCACTTAAAGCATAAATATGATAGTAATGACTAAAAGAGATCCCTTCCCAAGCACGCCATGCACACAAACCTCTGAGACCCTCACTACTGCTCACCCGGTGCTGAGAGTTCTGAGCAGAAACTGCCACACACAAGTGCCTGACCGTGAAACCTTCCGGGACCCTGTGGGACTGGAGCTGGGTATTGGCCTAATCTTGACTCTTCATCTAAGAGGTGGCCCCATTCTAGGGTTTATGGGCATGCCACCATTCTACCTTTAAAAATATGCTATTATAATAGAGTCAGTGTGGCGAATTCTACAGTTTTGAGTCAGCTGGTGCTTCAAAAAGATCTGGATAGGTAGTGACATGAAGAGCTGATGTTGTTTTGAAGTTGCCACATGTTCATCTGTGGGGGAAATTAGGATGTTTGTTTACTTTCATCATTAAAACTTGCAACAATGGGACTGTAGAAAGAATGAAGAGATTGTGCCTGATGAGGTGTAGGTACACATTCCATTTCTGTACAATGGCATAAATAACCAGGTGAAAAGAAAGGGATTCGCACAAGCGTTCGAGTACCAAGACTTCCTCTGACACTGGACATTTGAGGAGAAAACCAAACTCCAGTGGCTTCTTTGCCCCCCTGTTTAGGGAGCATCTTATCTCAGCAAATATTTACTGGGGACTGGCCACTCTGAGCAGACCTCATAGACCAAAGAAGAGCAGATCCCACAGTGGCCTAAGTCATGGACCCAGAGTATAGGAAGGTAACTGAGAGACCTGGCCCAAACCCTTTTTATTTTAAGTGGGGGTGAATTTAGGTCCACAGAGATAGTAACTTGTGCAGGGCTACGTTACTCAGAGAGTTTTAGGCCAACCCAGGCTAAATCTGGTAACTCGCTTCTTAGTTTAATACTGTTATGGACATTTATAATTTTCTTATAATATTGAAATATAAATAATAATAACAAACACTATGTAGCACTTTCATGTGCCTTCACACTTCTAAGTACTTTCCATGTATTAACTCATTTAATCTCACGGCTCCATGAGGAGTAGGTGTTATTGTTGCTCCCCTTTTGTAGACAAGGAAACTGGGATACAGAGAATGGTAAGGAGCATGCGTGAAGTCACACAGATAGTAAGTAGTGAAGCTTGGATTGAAACACTGGCAACCTGACCCCAGTGTTTGTCCTCTAAACTAGTAGGACAGGGGTTGACAGCTTTTTCTGTAAAGATAGTAAGTATTTAGGCTTTGGAGCCATAAAAGTCTCTGCTGCATCTACTCAGCTCTGCCTTGTAGTATGAAAACAGCCAGAGGTGATACATTAAATTATGGGTGTGGCTGTGTCTCAATGAAACTTTATTGATAAAAATAGGTGGGGTCTGGATTTGGCCTACAGGCTGTAGTTTTCAAGTGCACTACTAGACTATATGCCTCATCAGGGCACACCTATTAATGACAGTAAGAAAGATACAGAAGTATGGTGACTTAGTTTTATAAGGAATTTGGGGCTAGAAATTACACTAAAATGATGTATTGTCTTATATTCCTTTTGGGTAAAGTGTCCCCTGCTTTGGCCAGAGAGGGTCTTGGTCATCATAGCTGTGTACGGAGGGATGTTCTGAGGCTGAGAGCCAAGAGAGATTTTATTCTCCCTCAACTGCCTGGGTGACCTTGCTCAAGGCCCTTAGCATCTGTCACTCATACTCGCACAATGGTAATAATGATCCTTGCACCTGCCTCTGTCCGCCCTGAAGTGTGTTTTGGATTAATGAAGTCTTGTTCATGATATATTTGGAGCTGGAAATTTGGAAAAGGGGGAAACTATGAAATGGCCTTCATCATTTAGTTTGCTTGCCAATTAGAGAGCACTTTGGGGGTATAAAACCATTTTTGAATGTTTACCGTGTAGAGCCCAATTTTAAAGTCAAGGCATTCTTGATAATCTGCAAGAGATAATGTGGATTTAGGGGGCATGAATTTATGGATTACCTGTGCAGCAGGAGGCTTTAGGCAGTAGAGTAATTTAAGAGGGTGAAACAGGTATTATTTGAGTTTTTAATAAATGTGCAGTGAGAGGGTTCCTTAGCCAACCTCATTATGTGTCATCTTTATAAGAAAATTGAGACTTTTCTGATAAGCTGTGAGTCTTAGCAGTAGAAAGGATTTTTATAAATGCTTCCAAGTAAAATTTTGAAGTCAAAACTTGAACCAAGAAGCCTCAGAGGGAACCAGGCTGCCTGTTTGCATTTCAATGAAAGAGAGAGGAAATTCATTGCAGAGGTTGAAAATGTGGTTTGCATGCTAAGACTCTTGTGGAAGAATGGGCCTCCTGGAGGAGGTTGGGAGGGAAGTTACGGCTTGCCCTTGGTGATTAAGGTTGCTTGGCTGAGCTCATAAACTCCTTCTGATGCCCTCCATGTTTTTTAAGCTTTGCAAGAACATTCTTCTCCTTCAAGGTCAAAAATATATATTGAACTGAAAATTTCAGCCTAGGAGATATCTCAGAATTTCTCTGGGTTTTATTGTTTTGTTGACAAACTGTCACTTAAAAATCCAGTAGGTGTAACTACTTAATCTTACTTTGGGAATCTAAATTTAAGATGCTGTCACATCGATTATTGTGACATAAGAGCTGGTATTTGGCAAAGACCTTCTGGGAGCCGGGCTATGACTAACTTCATTTGTATCTTACTTAAAATAACAGTGTTAGTTCTGCAGAGGAATATTCTTCTTGTTTTATAGGCACACTGAAGCGTAGAGAAGGTATTATAACGAACTCTGTCAGGGTTAAACAGTTATAAGTAGCAGAGCCAGAATTTGAATTTGTCTTCCTGATTCCAAAACCCAAGCAAGTAGGGTGACCAAGAGCCCTGGTTTCCAGGACGCAGGATTCTCAGTGCTAAAACTCGACCATCCTGGAAGAGTTGGGAGTTTTCCTGTGTGATCCCCCCCCCCCCCCCCCCCCCGACACACCACACACACACACCTGTTAGAAGCTGTGTATATGCTATAAGACCTCCAAGGCCAAGATCCTAGGGCCGTCTTAGAGCCAAAAAGAAAGCTAGGAGATGGAGTTATTTGGGATTCCCAGTGTGAATATAACCCCATTTCATCTGTTGGCCCAATTTATGTTGATAGCAAAAGGCACAATTCTTGGAACAGTAGCTTCTGTGGTTTTTCATTCTTGCTTTAAAAGTATTGCTACACTGTTGTGCTCATGATGGACAGTCTTGGGAAAGGCTGGGTCACTTAGGAAGATTTCACCCATTCCACCCCATCCCCTTCCAAACCTGCCTCTGGGAATCCTAGCTGACCACCAGAAATGGGGACCACCCCCCACCAAGTTCTGCCTTACGTGCCTGGGCTCCCTTACGGATGTGTCTCTTTTCAAGCAAGTTATTTTGGCCTGTGTCCAATTTTTGTAGGGCACTGTGTGTTTACACTGGCTTTAAAATATTTTTATAGAAAGGGAGTTGGCACACAGGCCACAGAGTGAAAGCAGACAGGATCTTTAGAACATGATATATCTTCAAATGGTCAAGAAATGATCTTTACTCAAAAGGTGAATCCATAGGCACATTCTGGAGTTTTTATTCTCTTTAAAAATGTGCTGACCCACTTAACACCCTGTCAGTGGCCCCTAGAAACTCCCTGTGTTGACTGTTCAAGAGACAGCAGGCCATCTGATGCCTCGCTGCCTGTGGGAGACCTTATTCCCCAAAGCGACACTTGTAAGATGGCAGAAGGCTAGCCTAGGCCAGTGCTAGCGATTGCTGCCACATGCCAGTTGTTTCGGTACCGTTTTGAGATAAGTTTTTAACACTTATTAGCTAGATTACACAGGGGGACCTTGTAATCACTTAACTACCAGTGTGCTCATTGTATGATACTACCCAAAGGCGTCTTGTCATTTTTATTTCATGTTTTTTTCAAGTTTCTCTGTGAATATGTTGCAAATGAAATACCCTTCCAGAATGCAGTATTTCTTTTGTGATTGGTGTCTGTTGTTTTGGCAATAGGCATAAATGACATACAAGGCCTCAAGTGATTAGCATAGAGAAAGCACTGGGAAATGGAGGGCAGCGTGAAGGCAGGGGGAGTGCCAGAGGAAGGAGAGAATGAGGAGATGGGGTGGGGCATGGTGGGGACAGTGGCAGTAACATCAGGGAAAAGGGATGGAGGGAAGTGTAGGGAAGCAGACGAGGAGACACAGATAGACTGAGATACACGTACAGGATCGGGTAGACAGATACAAAACAGAGACACATAGAAGGACAGAGACCCACATATGATGAGTGCGGCAGAGACAGACAGACAGACAGACAGATGGGCAGACCAGTAGGGACTGGTCCTGTTTCTTATGATACCCAGCATCCTTCATTCAAGTCCTATGGGTAACAGCAGAGCCTACCAGGCCCACTGTGTGGTACTTACGATGCTTCTTCTGTCTTACAGGTGCTTACATCATGCCGAGCCTTCCTTCTTACAGCACGAATCCCCACCAAGGTAAGTGCTGATGCGGTTCCTCCTTCACACACACACACACACTCACTCACACTCACACACTCACTCACTCACTCCAATTCTCTCTCCCATACCAACACAACACTCACTCCTCAATTACGTAGACTTATGATTTAGGCTCATGTGCCCAGAGTTCTTGTAGCACACCCCCATTTTCCTTCCTTCCCCCAGAAAGTACCTAATGTTGTGATGATGGACATTTTTACTCTTTGTTCCCTCTCTGTGTAAAGTTGTCCCAAGAGAAGTGCTGAAGCATTCTGTGCTCCGTGCCCCTGATGCTTGTGGATTCCAGTCATTTTTCTCTCTCACTTGGGGCATGGAGTACACTTTCTTCATGTCGAGTTCTTAATTTCTTTGGTCCAGTGATGGCAGATTTTCCCAAGGTTTTGACATGTGGGAAGTCACCTTCACAATTCTAAGGAGTACATTACCAGCAACGTGGCTACCTCAGCCGTTCTCCACACACTCTTGGTGTTGCCTAGGAAATAGCATGGTGCCACATTGTTCTTTAAAAGATCTATTTAACATTTTACATAAGATGTCCTTTATAATATGGTGCAAATTAGAATTTAGGCTGATAGATAGCTCATGAACTACCCCTAAGAATTGATTCTTTTATTTCTTTTATGGTAACAAAAAGGTGTTGAACAATTTTATAGGATATGCGCTGATCGGTAACAAGAAATTGAGAAATTTTTTCCTAAAAGGATGATGATAGCTATATTTATTGAGTGCCGTTTTAATCAACAAGGTTTACTCCTTAAAGAATGTTTAAAAACCATGATGTAGGCCCCATTATTACTCTTATCATACAGATGAGAAAACTGAGGCACAGCACTCTGCCCAGTCAGACTTCCATGAGTAGGTGACAGATTAATGATTCTCATCAAAGGATGTGAGCAGGGGCTGCTTAACTACATTGTTATTACTAAAATTTAATTAGTTATCTACTAAGCATATTTTAAGTACATTATCTTACTTAATTCGCATAGTAGCCCTGCAGGTGATCTATTACAGAAGAGTTCAGAGGATGCAAAGTTGACTTGTATCAGGATTCACAAGTAATGGATGGGTGAAAGAAAAGTTAGGCTCACTATGTCCTACGCTTATCCCCTTTCCACTGAGCTGAACTGTCACCCCTGCCCACAGACCCAGGAAAATGGGTGAGGTGTGGGAGATCTTTCAGCCTTTCATAGTATGATGTGTTACTTGCTCATTTTCTTAGTCCTTCCTAGCTTAAAATTCAACATTTGGCCACTGTTTTGTGAATACCTTCTCATGTGCTGGATGACACGGTACTGTAGTGCAAAGGCCTGTTTAGGACTTGTAATCTAAAGATTTGTAGGATTTTCACTGAACTTTGTGAAGATACCAACCCACAGTACTAGTCAAAGTCTTAAGCTATCCGCTGCCATTTTTCTTTCTGATCATACAAATGCTAAATTTTATCATTTCTCTGAAGAATGAGAAAGCTGGCCCTAGGCCCTTTTGATAATATAACGTGAGTCTGTATGTTTATAATGTGTTATAAATGAAATCATTTTTTGTGTAAATCATGTTGGGCCAAATTACCTATACATTAAAATACCTGAAGGCAGGATAGAAAGAAGTGAATTACCATTATCCCACTTGTAAAAAATAAATTGCAAAAGGAAATTTAGGGGCTCGAGAAAATAGTCAAGCAGCCTCTCAATTAGAGGGCTCCTGGATCCTGTGTTTATCCTAATTAAAGACATTGTGATGAAGCAGTAGGTGTCACCATGTTTCCCCAAAAGTAAGACCGGGTCTTATATTAATTTTTGCTCCAACAATCTACATTTATTCATTTATTCATGTACAAAAATCTACATTTATTCAAACAGTCATGTCTGGCTGATGATCTTAACTGGGGCTTATGTTTGAGGTAGAGCTTATATTATGAGAATTCTGAAAAATCATGGTAGGGCTTTTTTTCTGGTTAGGTCTTATTTTCGGGGAAACACGGTATTTCCTCTTAGGAAGTCTCCTGCCCCCCTTTGCTGGCTGATCCTGGACTGACCCTCCCTGCTCTGCCCCTGAATGAAGGGCCAGGTTCACCCATGATGTGTCTAATGTTTCACATCAGCCTGGCTTGGGTAGTTGGGACATTGGTTCTGATTTCTGATCTTGTTAGTATCACAAATGAAGAAAGGCCGATTTTCTTCCCAAGTGACCTACATGCAGGTTCCCCCACAAAGAAGGCTGGCTTTCATGCATTATAGGACACCTGGGCCAAGAAGCAAAACCAGTGGCAATGCCATTAATTTTCTGGGGGAATAATTATATTCAGAACAGTCATGTACAATAGGCACTGATTATGACATAGGTTTCTCCTCTTTTCTTTGGGGGCTGATTAAACATTTTTTCTTTTATCTTTTTATGAAATGTACCACCTATACAGTCAAATGCCCAGAATAGAAATGTTCATCTCAGTGATTAATCCCAAAGCAGATACCACTGCAGTCACACCCAGATGAAGAAATAGAGCTTTGACATCACCCCAGAAGGCCTTAGTTCTGCTTTGGGCAGGTGAGGGTGGGTAATTGTCAGATCAGGGAAGGGTCAGCAGAGAAGCTGGGTTTAAGGCTCACCCTCCCTGTCAACCAGGCAGATAAAGGGGTCTTCCACTGGTAGGAGGGTATAGCAGGATGAAGGACCACTTTCTTTTGAGGAGCTGGGATGTGGGCTGAGGGTTATGGAGGAGGCTGTGTGGGAAGGGAAACTGGCTGGAAAGTTGGCAGGACTTGGGCTGGCTGATGGGAGGAACTGTTGCCTATGCAGTAGTGGTAGTCACTTAAATGTAGTCACATAATCGCATTCAAATTTGTTCTGTTGCCTGTGAGTTGGGGACTGTCTTGCTAGTGGGAGGGGATAGGCTAAGTGAGAGAATGGTGGAAAAGCTATTGATGGTTTGGGCTGATCCCTTCCTATTATTAACCAATTGCTACTATTTGTAGCTCTGTCTTAAAAATGTCCTGAGGTCTTCAAGCAGCCTGCACATGTCTCAGCTTTCTGACTAGCCCCTTGCCTCCTCCTGCCCAGTGATAGTCCTCAAACTGTCTTTGGGGTGGGCTGGAGTGGGGGAAGGGCCATTTAGGGGGATGTGAGAGCAAAGGCCTATTAAAAATAGTCATGGATGAGATTAGAGAGAATGATTTGAACCTTGCTATGATGCCTGTCAGTAAGTCTTAGAGCGTCTCCTCCTCACCATTAACAATATGATGATATCAGCTACATTTTCATAGCTGCTGGGATGTAAGAGTGTACTTGTTGAGTTCTTCTCCCACTTAACCAGCAGGCATAGGCTGGCACCAACTCTGAGTCGCAATCAAACTGGCCAAAAACATTCGTCCTGCCCAGATGGTTCCCTGAGACCTCGCCCCATCCAGCTTGCGCACTAGCTCTGAAGCTCTTTCAGCAGCTGTTCCACGTAAGCACTGGCCTCAGCCTGCATTGTGGACTTTCCTACAAACCCTCAAAGGTCCACAAACCCCAAGCAAACAGCAAACAAACACACTGGCCTTGGTGTGCCTGGTACCTACTGCTAAGCGGCTCCTAGCCGGGCATCGGTGGCAGCTGGCCTCAGAGCCCAGCTTAGCCTTTCGCAGGCACCTCCAACCCCAGCACAGTTGGTTATGAACCACAGATCACTTTCTAGCTCCTACCATTCGGCTCAGGCTGGACACAGGCAGCAGCTGACCTGGGCCTGCACTAGAGCCCCTCCTAAGAGACCCTAGAACCAACACACCTGGTCACTGGCTTCAGACCACACCAGAGTACCACCGAATTGGCTTCACAAACAACAGACCAAAGAGTGGACTCATCAAGGACCAGAGACCCGCAAAGGCAAACCCTACTCTGTGGGGTCAGTCCCCACACAATAGCTCATACAGCGCAGTCATGGCCAGTCCTCACATCCAGTCACCCTGAGGGTCAGTCCTACTCACTGACGTGACAACAGCAATCAAGACTCAACTATAAAAGGACTGTACACAACCTACACAAGGACACCTCTGGAGCACCCGGCTCAGAGACCAGGGAGACTGCGCCACTGGCCCCACAGGACACTTTCTACAGAAAGCCACCCTGCCAAGACTGAAAGATATAACAGATCAACCTAATACACAGAAACAAACACAGAAAGGTAGCCAAAGTGAGGAGACAAAGAAACTTTTCCCAAATGAAAGAACAGAACAAAACTCCAGAAAAACAAAAGAAATAGAGGAAAGCAATCTACCAGATACAGAGTTCAAAACACTGGTTATAAGGAGGCTCAATGAAATTAGGGGGAAAATAGGTGAACTCAGTGAGAACTTACACAAAGACGTACAAACCATAAAAAAGAACTGGTTAGAAATGAAGAATACAATAACTGAAATGAAGAATATATTAAATGGAATCAACAGCAGATTAGATGAAGCAGAGGATCGTATCAGCAATTTGGAAAAAAAAAAAAAGCAGAAAATGCCCAATTGTAACAAGAAGAAAAAAGAATTTTGAAAAATGAGTATACAAAGGTCTGACAAGTAAGTTCGTGAAATTGTTGCAACGATGTTGCTAACCTTTTTTGATATCAGAGGAATTATTTATTATGAATTTGTACCAACTGGACAAACAGTTAACCAAGTTTACTATTTGGAAGTGCTGAAAAGGCTGCGTGAAACAGTTAGACAACCTGAACTTTTCACCAACAATTAATGGATCTTGCATCACGACAATGCACCAGCTCACATGGCATTGTCTGTGAGGAAGTTTTTAGCCAGTAAACAAATAACTGCATTGAAACACCCTCTCTACTCACCTAATCTGGACTCAATGACTTCTTTCTTTACCCAAAGATAAAAGAAATATTGAAAGGAAGTCATTATCATGACACTCAGGACATCAAGGGTAATATGATGACAGCTCTGATGACCATTCCAGATAAAGAGTTCCAAAATTGCTTTGAAAAGTGGACTAGGTGC